ATATATACTGAGTATGTGCTCAGAGGAATTTATGTAACATTTGTTCACACCAGAAGCTTAGTGCTGATGTGCTCTGCTGAAGACATTAAAAATGTTTTGAAGCAACTACAAAACATCCTAGAGCACTAAAAACTATCTTCAGCATGTTTTGCATTCCATTCCGTGCCCTTTCTTTAAACCTCTAGATGGCAAGAATAACATTATGCAACATAAAAGCTTCATTTATGTATCTCTTGAAGATTAGAATCTTTCTAAAGAGAAATGATTTTGAAATCTTACATTAATTAGATTCATGACTCCAAGTATAATTCAAGAATTCTAAAGAGCTGCTAGTCAACGAACTTGGAAAAAGAATAATTTAGGAAAAAGTCAATTCACCAAATTAGAAAAGCTGGCTACATTCTACACGTGTACCAACAACTTGCCTCTGATCTACAAGTATGCACTATTTGTATAGTAATTGCTAGTCTGCAACCAAAAACAGATCTAGGAATTGTAATATATCACCGTTTTCAAGCAGTGTAAGTATGCCTGCTATTTCCTTTTAAATACATTTGCATTCTCCATTTGTTAAAACGTCATTGGGATGCAGATACTGTGTGAACCAACTTCTGTGTGAACTGAAGGACTCACAGAAGTGATTTTAGGACTGCTGAGCATCTAGAACCAGTTCAGATCAAGGGGATCTGCAAGATAATGTTTAGCAGCTGGTCCTAAAGCAGCAAACTTGTCTGCCAGAAGCAGGCTAGAGGAAAAAAAACCCACAACAAAACAACCCAAAACCAGCAAACAATAAGGTGTAACAAGAATGTAACTCTACCTTTCTGTTGCTTCAGGTAAAGAGACAATACATCCTTTCAGCTAAATACAGTTTATTAGATGAACACGTAAAAAGCACGAACTTTAGAAGCTACGTGTCATCCATGTGTTTCCCATTTATTTCTCAGGGTGCCCACTTGGGTGTCTCAACCATTAATCTGCTTTTGTCTTGGGTAGACAAAACCATTCTTTCTTTAGGTTCGCTAATTTTCATACCAATTGTGAGTTACTGCCAAACCACAAGAATTTGAAAGTCAAGAACTATTGCTAATATAATAACAAAGAAATATTTCTGTGAAATCCCTCAATATTCAGCATTGAAGACAACTGGACAAAAAAAAATATATATATATTTGCTATATTAATTCATTCTATTAATTCCTCAGGTTACTTAAGAGTCATACCTTTCAAATAACGCTGATTTAAAACAACAAAAAGCTAACAGCTTAAGTGAGTAGATAATTCTTAATCAAATTGAAGATTGTGTCTCATGTTCTCTTTACTGGCATTGCTCACAAGTGACTTTGGAAGGGTGTTTCATGACACTAAATATCTGAAAAAATGGTTATGAAGCTGAAGGTCACTGAAATAATATACTTCGATTTAAGCAATCGCTACAAGATAGAGGATATTTCAGGAGAAATCTAAGGAACAGTCAAGTTAAGGAACAAGCAAAGCCACACAAAACCTCTTGTGGTTTGCCACTGAATTTAAGCAAAACTACAGCTGCAACTCAGCTGGACACCTTGCCACAACATGCATGGAAGATAGAGTGGAAATAACTGTATAAAAACTACATGGAATATTTCATACAAAATACTCCAAATACTTTTCATTATGTAACTTTTATTTGAGACACACATTGTTGTAAAAAAGTTCACATGGAATAATAAAACCATTGGAGTGTGAATGTTTTTTAGGGGTTGGGTTTGTTTTTTTGTCTACACACATCAATACACAATTAATGATTAGGTTTACAAGTTAACCACATGACAAGTTCACTTTTATCTGCAGGAGCTTTTCACATTACACCTTTATACCAGAGATAAAATGTGCTTAAACACACACAGTAGAACACTTCTATTTCAAAATTAAGCATTTTCTCAAGGACTATACTTTTTATTCTGAATTTAGTAGCTATCTAGCATTAAAATAACTGTAATTGAATTTTTATTTGCAAAAATGTTTGTAAGGCCATAGGAATGCACTAAAATACTTAGATTCACCAGAAATAAGAAAAATCAATGGAAATCCTGCTCTTGTGGAAGAAAGAAATACAAGTTTTATTTATAAGAATGAGAATGGCATAAGCATTTCAGTGAATGGAGAAGAAAAAAAGACTTCTTATCACCTACAGACCAAACCTTAAGAAGTTTAACATTGCAAAATTTCAGTTACATTAATAGATAACCAGATAACAGATGCATTTTCACAAATAACACATTTATGCATTTTACATATTATTCATGTACTTTCAAATCATTATCCATTCACAATATTTTAATCTGATATGTATATTCAAGACTCCTTTATTCACTTGTGAAAATGATCCACTTAATTCACCTGATTTTAGCAGACTAGTATGGGAAAGGTACTTACAATGGGAAATACTTTCTGTAAAAAGAACTACAAGTCTGAAAAGTCAATTAGCATTTTTAAGACTGTCCCCCAAATAGAAAAGTGAGCTGCATTAAGTTTAGTAAGTGGTTTAAGCTCTAGCAATAATAGAACTTCCAGACAGCAAGTAAAACAAATATTCTATATACACTCAACAAAAACTTCGTGCGCATGTTTTGCTGAGCACAGACTGAAAGCTAAAATTGCAAAGCACTGAGACCTGTTTGGGTTTTGTTTGGCTTTTTTTTTTTTTAAACCATTTAGAAAAATATTGGTCAAGATATAGCGCACAGACATGGGGCTGAGGGAAAGATTTCCTAAAACTCAATAGCATAAACAGCATTTTTGTTTTATCAAAATCCACCAAAAAACGTCTGCCCTTCCTGAAAGGCTAATGGCAATTTCTGGAACAAAACAGAAATACGTTTGCTGCTTAATGAATAATAATTATATGACTTCCATTCTAATGGACATTAGGATACTAACTAGTTGACTGAGGTATAGTTAAGAGTCCTTCAAAACTTAGATTACATAGTCTTGAGCGAAGTAGCAACAGAGACTACACAAAACCATCATAATGATATTAGAAAAGCCTGTAGTACCCGGCATCTAATGCGTAGGCAGAACATACCATTTACCATCACCTGCTTGTCTAAAGGAAAATACAGCTAAAAAAATTCCCAGTAAAACATACAGCTGATTTGCACGCTAAGATACAGCACATTTTTCAACGTCTGACAAGGCAGACTGTACACAGAAAGAGGTCTATACTGACCAAAAGTTAGCACACCGATAAAGTGCAGCCACTCAGCCACTTAATACTGCTGGAGAAGAGGGGTGGGGGCAAAACAACAAAGAAAGAGAGAAATCTGCATTTTACCTTATCCATAAGACCACATGAAATTAGAATTCTTCAGTTTCAGCAGGGGACAACAAAATTGCATTAAATTCTTCTACAAATAGAAAAAGATGAACTTTACATGAACATTAAGCAAAGTGAAATATTTACTGCATTATTTTAGCATGCATAAAGTGAGTTTCCTATGGTCTTACCTCACATTTATGTACAGTTTAGCACAGCTAAATGTAAGAAAATAGCAAGTTTTTTTCTCCCCGCCCCCCCCCCCCTACAGAGCAGATACCCCAATTTGCTGCTGCTTCAAGAAGCACTTCATAGACTCTACTACTTACAGGCTCTTTCAAAGGGAAGTTCATGGAGACTAATATTGAATGAACATTTAACCACACAGCAAAGACAGGAAAAACAATACAAAGCATTCTGTAAACGGTGCCAAACACAGAACGTGTCAGTTTTGGTTTGCAGACAACCCCTGAGATAAAAATCAAAGTATTACGACACCAAATAAGTCAGAGGTAAATTACTGAAAATAAACAACATTCATAATTGGTGTCACAACACTTTCTGTATAGAAGCACTTTTTTTAACCATACAGAAAACATAACTGCTTTAGCCTGTCCGAGAGAAACATCAAGGGTAGACAACAGAGCAGTTAGGGTTGCTTTGTTTTTTCACTAAACCTTGTTGCCACGATGATTTTTCTGTTTGAGTACAGAAACAGCAGTTTATGAGATTCACCACCTAGTTACAATAACTATTTCTATTAAACTACACGTGGGGACAGGTTGATAACCACTGAAAACTTTATGGAACCAGCTACTAACGTTAAACCTTTCAAAATCGAGAGTCTTTAATCCTAACACTGTTGGCCCGTTCACTTTCAAAATATTTACAACAGACCCAGAGATGACAAATTCAGTACCTGACACCACAAAATGAAGCGGTTATCTGCGGTGACGACCAACTCACTGTTTACAGTTCTAGACAACGTAGTGAAGCGAAAGCAAGCACGTCAGACCGTAACTTTGACAATGACAGAATGCACCTATCCCCTAGTAACAAACATGCTAGACACAAACTTGTAGTTAAAGCTTACAATGGTCCAAATTTGGCACATCAACAGAACTAAAGCACCTGTTTTAACTGCTCATTGAGGAAATCTTTCAGAAGACAATAAAAAAGTAGTAGAACAAAGACTAGGTTATACAATGCTCGGTTGAGTAAAAAAGGCAACTACGTTTCAACTCTGCTTCTAACAGTCTAGGTCACTGTACAGGGTTTTGATGGAAAAAATAACTGCTTGAGCAGACCAAAGAGGGCTTCACACATTCAGCATTCACTGCTTAACTTACAGTACATTATAGCCCTAATGTGACCATTTCCTTAGTGCCAGAACTTGATAAAAATTAGCAACTGCACAGGAAGCTAGTTGTTGGACACCTCTGTTGTCAAGGGTCGATGCTTACAGGCGTGAACAAACTATCCTTAGAATTACAGTAGAAATGGAAGTCACCTTTAGAAGCAGTCATTTCTGAACCAATGAATCCACAAAGAGGTTACTCAAAACTCATGCATTCAGCTTCCACAAGCCACTTAAGTGATAGTGATGAGGCCAATTTGTGACGATGATTTCAGCTCCAGAGTGTACTTCCTCATCAGAAACAAAAAAGGTGCAGGCAGTTTGAGCTAACAAAGGGAAGTTAAGTGAGGAAAGACTGTGTTTATTCAAATAACTGAAAGGTGCATCTGTGAATCAGACAGTGACTGGCAATTCAGAACACAACCTTGCTAAGTCCGGTAAAGAAAGACAAGCAACACACTACATTCAGAATAGAAGCCATAGCTTCTGCAGGAACAGATTTGTGCATCTAAGAAACAAAACCCATACAAATTGTTAAATGCCAATTGTCACAGTAATTCTCATCACTAGAGTGTCAACATCCATACTGCAATCATGGCCACAAGTATACAGCATAGAAAATAATGGAAGTGAGACTTAATTTTTCCCCTGGCTCTTCTGCTTGAAAATAAATTTGTTTAAAAACAGAAAGAAAAACCTGCACAAATCTGTTAAGAATCTTACTTACAAGTCAAACTGTGCAAATACAAATGTAAGATTGTGCTGTAACAGGCAGTAAGAGGCCAATATGGATGTGCAAAGTTAAAAGAAACATAGCAGCTTTTGCAACAGGCAATAAAACAGAAAGTAAAAAAGGAAAACAAGTTAACTCTTGCATGTGTCTCCACTTCATAGCTTCCATATCTGAGAAAGAAGAGCCTGACAGGTCAATAGGCTTAGTGAGCAAAATCCACTTGGTATTTTGTGTATCGCAGTCTACGTTCAATGGAGCTCTCAGCAGCAGCTTGGTGGTATTATTTCTGAGGCTTTGTGACCCTGTGCTTTCAAAGAAGCAGAAAAGGTTCTAAGTGTGCTGCAGTCTATCATTAGAAGTTCATCAAAGTAGCGTGCATCGAAAGAAGCTGCTCTTCTTAGACCGGTTTTCTGTTATTTTTACTGGCCCACCTGCCCCTGATGAACTGTTGTCATTCTGAAAGAGAAAAGAGTATCAACATTGTAAAATGCAAAGAAAATAAGACTAGCTTTCCTAGTTTCATTCCCCACTTCCCCTCCTTGCAAAGCAATAACCACAGCAGCGGTTTGTTGCAACTTGAGCTCCTCAATTACCCAGACTCCATTCATCTCTCAATGAAACTGCCTCTTTTTAAAAAAAGAAACATTTTTCCAACAATCCAGATCTCAAGTATTAGCTGAACAGGTGACTACATAATTTGATGTTTAATAAAGCAAGGATCACACTGTTACATTTCAAAAGAACATATCGGTTCCATGCTGTCCAATGTTAAGGTTCATGCAAAACAAAGAACAATTACACCCTGATGTGTAATAAAGCACTATTCGCTCAAGTTTGATCTAGCATCCACTGTAATTCCTAGGAGTCTTCTGGTAGGGCTACTACTCAGCCAATTATTATAGCAGTCATTTCAATTTATCTAGTTTGTATGCCAATTCAAAATACAAACCATTTTTCTGTTGAGCTTTGTCATAATGTCCCGTGCAAGTGTGAAAAATGCCTGGTGAGGAGTGGAAATAAAAAAAAAAAAAAAGTTAGTCACAAGCCACATTAAAGACAAGATAGATTTAGAGTAGCCAGACACATTAACAACACAGTATTCTGCAGGGCACTGCAACTTTGAGTTGCAAGGCACTCTACGTGTAATAGCTGTTTACTTAAAACTGCAATAAGCATGCTCTAGAAGAAAAAACTACTTATTTTTAGTCTCCATCCCTCCAGTCTCTGAAGCAAGTGAACAGACTTTTCCATCATATACCTCTTGGGCAAAAAAAAAAAAAATAAATCTGCTGAGAGAGGGCTGCATACACTAATAGTTGTGGAGGTTTTTTTTGCCAAACTGTACAGTGCATCGCAACTAGAAACCCACAGCGAGGTTTGAGGATGGCATGCCTGCAAATTCACATTAAGGTTAGCTTGTCTTCTGTCCTCCCAAAGTTTTGCTCCTGCACTATCTATAACTTTATTTATGTTTGCAATATCCCCATTAAAAAAATATTTTTTTTAAAAAAAACATTCTGCCAAATCTCAGCAACTCAGACTTCAATGTATGAAGGAGCAAAGAAACTTCTGTAGCAGAAAAATTCTGCAATTCCCCTGAAGGAGGGAAAAAGCAAGATTTAAGGCTACCTGGAGATACCAACAATCCAAGGACAGTTCCAGAATGTAAGAAACAAACACTTCTCCTCTCATTGTGTTTAGAATATATCCAAAGACAGACCCTCATTTTATGCAACTAAATCACAACAAATAAAATAAATTAATTTACTTCTGATCACAAAAGTATCACAAATGTGTCATTTCCCACAAATTAAGCATTTGGTAGAAAGAACACTAAATTGTTACTTATTAAACGCCTACATCAGCTGCATTTTTTAATGTTTTCTTCACTTCTGAATTTAAAAAAAATATTCAGATAGCCATGTTGTTTAGAGTAAGCACAAACTAATGTACATTTAATGACGTACAGGAGGTAAAATGAAATTGCAGGGCATGTCATGAAAGAGCAAGTCAACCGGCTGGAGGAACAAATGAAGATAGGTACTTTTTATTAGGACACTATTGCTATCCACCATTGGTATTAGCTGCTAATGTTCACAGTTCCATTGTCTGCTGTAAGAATCATAATGACACTGTGAAAATCGGGTCAAGCACTATTCCAGATACAGCACAATGCAAATAAGTCCATTCTAACTATATTTTATAACAATCATCCTGCAATCAGGAAAAAAAAAAAAAAAACACTTGGCTGGCACAGTATCAGTCATGTTATTTTAAAGTAACAATCTCTTTAGTTTCTAGTTAATTTGTTAGCTGCGTGATCTGAATTAAGTACGTTTGGAGGGCTTTTAAAAAGTATCCCATCAATACACATGGAACAGCTTTTAAATGTTGTTCCTGTATCTAATCATCTAAGAACAAGTCTAGCTTAACTGAATGAGTGAATCTTAATGTAACTGCTTTTGACACCATATTATCTTCATGCCTTTCATAGAGTTAAGATCCTCCCCCCACCCTGCCTGAGATGACAAGAGCGATGAATGGCACGATAGACCGGAGTTGAGCCACTCTTCCTTCTGATTCTATTTCCTTATGCTCTCATAAATAGGGACCTTGTGTTTGTAGCAAAAAAATTATTTGCAGGAAAACAGATTGCAAGTCTATAGATAGAGCACTATAAGCCTTCTTCCTCCTCTTAACATCAGCTTATGACAGTCTATGCTGATGTTTTGGGTTAATATACAAACCTTCAGTCTCATCTGCAGAGCACATATTTAGTAGTAACCTAAAGGCTCCTTGACACAGTAGCATGTTATTTTGCAAGCAAAGAATCTTGAATCCAATTTCCCGCACAAAGCATTGTTCTAAGAATCACACCTATTCCCTGTCCAAAAGCACTTGCAATTTAAGTAGCAAGGCATAGAAGTCTAAAGCAACTGTTTGCTACAATAATAGTAAACCACCCTGTTAACACCCACTTAAAAAACAATTCCAGACATCACCAGAAAACAAGAAACACTGGATTTTACAGTACCTCTCTAATTTAACAAGACTGGTGACCCAGGAGCAGAGTTGAGACTTCAGGTCCCAGATCAGGTCAGAAAGCCCAGTGAATCATGAAACACACCTAAGCATAACACACATCTCTTACCTCTTCCACATTTATGCTGGATTTTGCACTTGTCTCCAAAAATTTGATTCCATAATCAATCGCTAACTGGAAGAGAAGTTGAAGTTTTTCAGTGTTTTTGAAGCTCCTTTGTAAGAGGAATGTTTCACATAGGTTCATAATAGAACAAATGCTGTACAGTGCAGCAAGTTTTAAATACAAACCCAAACAAGTTCCACTTCTGCTTTTCTCTTGCAAAAACATTAAAGTTATGGACAGTTAGACAAAGTATTAGAACAGGTCATACCCTCATGTAAATTTAAAACCAACAAAAAGATTAATCACTCTCAAAAAGACTGACTTAGGACCTAAAAGAACATTAAGATACAATCTTCATTGACATGGATTTATGGACCAGATAACTACAATCATTCCATAAGTTCTGTTACTAGCAACTACACTACTTTAGCTGTGTATGTGATAGACTATACAGTATTCTCACTTGCTTGCTTGTTCTGTAGAATGACTAATTACTTAAGCTTTAATAACAGTACTTATGACAAGAGTCAGTAACCACCATAGTGGATTGACTACAACATGATCAAACTACATACAAAGCTTTATACTGAGATTTAGAATACTTCATACTATAGCAAAAGTCAACATTCTTTACAGGGTCTTCCCCTCAACACAACAGTACCACTAAGTTTATTCAAACTTGAAGACAGTCAAGTGCTATTTAAAAACAACAGACCCAAACCTGGCATCCTATAATATATAAAAGTTTCTGAAACAAGAGGTTTAAGGCCCGTTATCTCTCACATGCCTAAAACATGCCAAATATCCAGCAGCCAAAATCCTAAGAAAAGCAGGCTTCTAAATAAGGTGGGTCTCCAAAGCTTACCTTCTCCCCTTTTTCTTTCGAAACTTGTCTTTTTTCATTCATATCACATTTGTTACCCAGGATCATTCTTTCTACATCTGAAGAGGCATGCTGAATGAAGAAAAAGCAATTTCTCAGAAACAAAGTGCAACGTTATTTAAAAGAAACTTGTGTGTCAAACTCATCCACAAGTGAATATTTTATTTTGAAAAAGTTATCTAGTGAAGGCACTACTGAGAAAGAGATTGGCTTTTGAAACAAGCAATTTAACATTTAAATACTAAAATAGGTTGGAATAAATACTCCTAAGTTAAATTTGCCTGAGTACTATTACAGACTGAATACAGTACCATGAGTTCTGTACCAAGTTGCACACAGGCACCTGGCTATTCCAGAAAAGTAACGGTACACACGTTACTTCAAAATGGTACATGGACATCTAGGGTATTTGGTTGGAGTATCATTATGTGATACATTTGCATTTTTAAAATAGATAAGCAATAATCACTTCAGCAAGAGAACTTCAACAAGAGAACTTTTCTAGCCCTGTCACTATAGGTGACACAAATTGCTCACTAATACAGAAATTTGTTTAAAAGCCAAAGACCAATACTAAAGAAAACCCCATAGGTTTTATGTTTAAGGGGAAAAAAAAAACCCAGTAAGATTCTGTTACCTAACTACAGCTTCACTAATAATAAAGTTAAATAATTAAATAATTTACAATAAATTAGCAGGAAGGACACTTATCCAAGACCAAACGAAAAGGTCAAAAATCTCTAACTGGATGAACACATAACAGAGTGACAACTGCAATTAGATCTGTCATCATCTCAGTGAAAGGTAGACAACCTAAGATCTTGCTCCTTCCCGTTCCTTAGACACACCCAAAAGCAAAAAAAAGAACAATAAAAGTCATATAGTAAGAGCAGTTTTGAAACACTTTATGCTTACTTTTTAAACTTAAATTTTCTACCTTCTATCCCTAGATGAACGAGGCAATATTATCTCCATTAATAACTGCTGTTGGATTCACTGCACAGTCTAACTTGGCCATATACATTGGCTACTATAATGAAAGTGAATAATTACTTGATTTTTATTTGTCCCAGGGAAATCATAAGATGTAATGAGTAAGAAGTACTTTGCAAAACACCTACCTCCTCTATGTTTCTTATCCAGTTTTTTATGTTGTCAAAAGATTTTTCATTTGTGATGTCATACACCAGCATAATTCCCTAAATAAAATTAAGAAAATCTAGTCAGATGAGTCACCACTATTGGTTGACTTTTGATTTGTTGTGTGGGTTTGATGATACTTGCCAGAAAGTCAATATATGACTAATGCACCTATAATCCTTTTTCAAAGAATTATGCCGTTGCTGAGAATTTATGCAAAATACAACTATTTAACATCTTTTGCCACTGCTAGAGGTCAAACACACCCCCTATACGAAGTTTTAAATTATTAGCCTACAGTCAGGAAAAGTTTAGATACTCTACTACAACAGCAACCAGGACTCTATGGTAAAAGGCAAGTTTAGAAGCAGCAGCTTCCAGCAGTCAAAGATGATAAACCTGTGAGATCCAATCTGCCAGGGCCAGTAGATACTTAGAGCAAAGCTGACACTAGGTGCTCTCCCAGAAGCTTTAGCTCTTTCAGACAGTTATGTATGTATACTAGTGTGGGCTCTCAACAATTAGCCAAGCATGGGAAATCACACAACGGCTGCATTAAGGACAGACTGCCAGGTTCACCGCCATTCCTTATTGCCTTTCAAATCATTCCTCGTAGGACAAAGAAAAGTCCTTGGCCATGGACTGGGACGTGGGGAGAAGATCATGTCACTGCCAAAACCTTTTTAAGTACTAGAAAGCTCTAACACAGAGCCACAAGCACTACTATTTCTCCCCATCTGTATTCTGTAAGAGTGGAGTTGTTTGGACCCACAGCCAGCCTATGACTGGAACAGATCTGTTCATACAAAGCGGTAAGAACATGTAATAGCAGCATAGCTAGTAATCAGCAAGTTGAATTTAAGTGTCCCAACATAAAGTACCTCAAATCACAGCATTAAGAACCATTACAAGCAGCTGTATCACTAAGAGTGCAGGATCTAAGTTAGTTATTTGACTTTAAGTCATTTTTAATGGAGGAAAAAGTAACAGTAGCTTTTGTAGGTGATTGCATTTATAGCCCAGATTTTGCATTCTCTACTGGCTGAAGAAAAGCAATTCAGTGAAATACACTTTTAATATTAAAATAATTCATTACCTATTTTTCAAACACTTCAAATGTTTAAAGTGCTTGATTGCATTAAAGAAAAAAAAACACTTGTCTGATTAAAGCTTGGCAACTTAGCTTCTTATTATAATCTGCAGAAATTTTAATTATATGAAAAAAGACAATTGGCCTTGAAGTTTCATCACAAAAACAGGACTAGACAAAGTACCAGCAGGTTTAAGAGACAAACAAACAAAAAAATCTAAACCAAAAAACCCCAAACCACAAAATTTATTCCCCGCATCTCAAGCCACAATTATCCAGTCCTCCAGTTGAAGACTTACATGATATAACCTTAGGAACAGCAAACCAGTTATGCTAGTTGTGCCTAATTTTTTGAAGTGAGGGCACTCACCATGGCTCCTCTGTAGTAAGCTGTTGTGATTGTGCGGAATCTCTCCTGGCCTGCTGTATCCCTAAAATTCAGTGAAAACAAGTACTTGTTGGAGGTGATCTTTACACCTTTCTGTACTTAGAGATGTCATTTTAAACAGAGTAACAATGTACTGATAATCATCAAGAAAAAATACCATTTAGAAGCTGTTTGCGCAAGTTTCTTCAGCCCTCAACATCTTCCTCGCTCCCAAGCTATCCTACTTACCTCAGTGGTTATAGCAGCACCATAGATATGGCACAAAAGCATTTAAATTGTCATGCAAGCAATAATACTCAGCACTACATAGACTTCCCTAGAATAATTAAAAGGCAGCTCTGTTGTGTCCAAGTCCTGCATTAAACAGAAATTAAAACATGCAGCAGTAAAATATTTTAGGATAGTGCATTTTCACGTACTATTTCACGTATTAAAACCAGCCACTATACCTTAGTGTGCTGATATTTTATCCTAGATGACTTCAAAGCTGTATCTGTCTGCAAGTGAACAAGAGGACCAAAGCGTTTGGCTACTAGTCACACCTAGGGGGAGCTGAACCCCAAATACCTAACAAACACCAGCTTTTTGACTTACAGACAGAGAATTTGTACCAACCACTTACGGCACTTCCTTAGTCACAAGAATTCTGGCTCGCATGCAAGTATCACAACTATCTATCTAGAACTTGAGAAATCAGCAAGACCCCTACATTCACCAGTAGCATTTTAAGAGTTTGGTATGTGTAATAATTCTACAAAAATACTCATCTGTTGCTACCAGGAGGCTCGGTCTCTACTGACCCGCCATGCAAGGAGTGGAAGCACTATCACTCATCTGTGCCTCTGTGAGTACAACTAGGCACCAAAGTATCAGAGGAGATTACATTCTTTTAGGTTGCATATTTTAGTTTACAGCTATACAGAGTTAATATTTCTCTTCCACACGGAACAGCTAAAGCACATCTAAGAGGACAGCTTTTGATAAAATGGGAAGTTGCTGTAACATTCACACATGAACAGGCTATTTCCTGTGCTACCGAAGCAGAACCACGCCAAGAGCAAGCTAGAAGAAAGCATAAACCTTATGGACAGCCAATGAATAAAAGGTATGAAACTTCTGATACACCCAGGCTCAAAAGCTATTAAGTATTCCCACTCAAAGATTAATTCAATACTCACTGAAAACTTAATTACTCCAGAATACTTACCATATTTGTAGCTTGATTTTCTTTCCATCTAATTCTATTGTTCTGATCTTAAAGTCGATTCCTGCCAGAGAAAAAGATACTCTAAGTTTTGCAATAAATGAAAAAGAAGTGTTCAGTTACCTTTTGAAAACTTGGTAAGAGCAAATTTAGGCAAAAGAATTATTCTGAAGTTGTCCTCCTTACAAACACTAGGAAGTGCTGAGGATGCAAAAAGATTTTCAAGCTGCATTCATCATGTCAAGGATAAATTATTCTGCACAATGAAAATAAACTGAACTCAAACTCACTACTAGAGTTAGTCAAGACTATGAGAGGAAGATTTAAATCTCAAAATTCTTTCATTTTACACTAATAAGGTCACTAGTTTGAACGAATATTTTTCCCAGCTTAGTCTAGCCCCTGCAGTTCAAGTCAATACCCTAGAACCTCTGCTGGCTCTGAGGAAAAAAAATACATACTGTGATGCCTTAGTTCCTTTTCAAAATTGGCATTTACTTTTGAAAACTGATGTTTAATGCACTAATCACAGGACAGTAAATGGTAAAGCATCACAGGAGATAAAAGCTATACAGACGGTTACCGAAGGTGGCTGAAATAGATCACCCATGGGAGTTTTTCGAGAACACCAGTTTAGGAGTGACAAGATTTTCTAGGAAGCTGCAAAAGGTATCAAGGAAACACTTCCTTCCTTTCCCCCCCTTACACTTCCACAGTGTACCCATCAGTTCCGAGATGGATTTTGAGGGTAGATTTTAAGCCATGGGTAAAAAAAAAAAAAAAAAAGAATTAATTCAGAAAGGCTTAAAAATGTTTTTTAAGGTTTAGAGGGATCAAATGGATCTATGAATCAAAGCCAAGATTTCCACACAGACTAGCCTTTACCCTGAACTATTTTAATTTTCCTGTCTCTAAACCTATACTAAAATGTAGCTCAAATTGAGACTGCTCGAGTCTCACTGCATGATGGCCAGATTTTTGAATGCCAGGACAGCCACCCCCACGTACCCTCCCAATTAATCTGCTTTGAAATAATGACCCATTACTCCTTCACTGAATCTTAAATAGTTATTTGATATTTAGTTTGTAATAGATTTAGTTTGTAAAAGATTTGGGAGGCAGGGTAGGTTATTTTATTTCTTTAATTTCTTCTTTCCTCAGCTGTAATTTAAATGACAATTATCCAGAGTACCTTAATTGGGAAAATGCTGTTTCTAGCTTTAATAATTTACCCATCCCTTAAACAGGAAGCTACCGGATTTTTTAATATACTACAGTAGCACTTGAATATGAAATATGGATATTCATTAACTATTTGACTTTAATTCTTCTTGCATGCAATATTAATATTTTAATATACCGAAAATACCAAGTTTCAGCCACTTAATCTTGCTGTGCTATGGATATGTAGTTTAGCCCATTAGTTAAAATACAAATTATGAGCAGAAATATCACATCAGCACTTTTAACAGCATATGAAATTAATTGCATTAATTTAAAATGCTATGACTACTGCTACAATTGCAATTTCCCAAGATTCACTAGTAGACTTACAGGCAAAAAGATACTTTCATTAATTTGCATTCTTCTAAAAATGACATAAGAATGATGTGTACTTCAAAAAAATCCTTATTATATGTAACGGAAGTTTGGCAAGAGTTTCCATTTTACATTTGATAGGATTTTGTGTCTCTCTTGTTGTAAAGGTTTTTCTCCTACCTAGGTACAACACCTGCTGAAGTCACAGGCAATTGCATTCAGATCTGAAAACAACTGACCTTTGCTCTGAACAGATTTTCTTTTGGCCTCAAAGGTTATAAAGCACAAATACAGATTTTCCTGGAAAGGGTATGGTATCATGGACAACAGCAAATTAAATCAGTTTTAAAAGCTCCTATGTGTCTAGGCCTGAAGTTTTAGAATTAAGCATGACAACTATCATGAAAACTAGGTTCTGCAACTACTGTGGTTTAAAGATAATTCTGTAGGTACTGTCAACTACCGAGGCGAAGACACATCAGCATAAACAGTGAAAGACTCCTGTAGGGATGGTTTTCTGAGAAATCAAGCTTATGCTGCAGTTAGATCTCTATGTGCACCAAGCCATGCCTTGCACAAACTGGTTTCTTGTGGTTAGTCATTTCTCTCGCAGCACCAAAATGCTGCCAAATACAACCATTCCTTTGATCACTTCTAAAATTCAGGATCTGCCAAAAAGTATCTTCTCGGAACTTAAGATTTCTAGTAGGAACTTAACCAAAATTCTCAAACAAAGAGGAGTTTCAACACTAAAAGAAGAATATGAAGGGGAAGGCCATAAATACCTCTGTTACGATACTAAGAAGCTCAACAAATGCAACTGCAACTTTTTGGAGGCTAAAACGAACTAGAAACTGGTGTTTCTTTTGTTCTTTCACTTCAGCAGCAGGAAGCGGTGAGCTGCAAGCGTTTGCAGAGCGAGCCTGGCGACGTGCTACCACTTCCTGCCCAGTACACTTGCATGGCCAAGGATGAGCAATGTTTTGCTTGCAGTTGAATTTAAATTATGGTATGTAAAACACTCCAATGACTATAGCATTTCAAAAGTAACTATTGACAGAAAGTTTCCTTTATCAGTGAATTCTTACTTTGCGCAGCCACACACTGGGATACAAAAGTTTGAAAAGATACTCGAGTCTAATAAAGAGGAGTCGTCTGCAAATCAGAAAGTTGGACTGCAAAGGATCACACAGCTTTCACAGTTTTAAAATGCAATGTACAGTGCTGTTGTCTCCAGTAAGGAGAAAAAGCCCAGAAACACTTGTATGTCCGTCTGAAGTCACGTTTTAGAAGCTTTTAGAAAACACAGACTCAGCCTTTGCATTCTACGAATTAACCTAACAGGATAATTATTTTTAACTGCTAAAGCAGAGTTGCCACACAGAAGTCTGACACGCTGATGCCCACGTAACAAGTCAGTACATATTCCATAGGGATAGGAAAGCACCTGTTGCAGGAAACACAAACTTGTAGTCTGCAAGGATGAAGCCCAAGTTAAGACCTGAACTGTGCATCGGTTAGGACTGTAATTGCTCACATTTCCCTTGCCGCATGGGGTAAAAGCGGCAGTTCTTCAAAATCCTTTTCAGATCCTTGCTAACTACCACCGAGAAATGCATCCTCTCTCTCCTCACTTTACTGAGGGTATTTTCTCCCATAGCTTCCAACAAAGAATACACTGTGGAGAGAAATCTGCACACTAAGAAAAAGTCAGTGTCATTAGTGCCACACAGACTTATACAAAAAACCCCGAGAGCTGCATGTTGCCACATTTACCTTGTATTGCTACGCAAAGCTAATAAAATTCGCCAGCTAGGGTATGGCATTGTCCAACACCATGGAGCCAAATATCAGAGGCCAAGGAGACTGGCCTCACCCAGACCTCTTTCGGTTTAAGCCAGGAAGTCGTGTTCCTCTCCTCCACCGAAAGCTCTTCTGCCAACACTCCTTCCTCTTTGGCCACTCTGCCCCAGTTACACATTCCTTCTTATTCCAGCCAACCTAGGCAGATTTTACCCACAATTAAGCTGTAAAGCAATCATTTTAAAGAGACATTGGGAAATGTTCCAAAGAGCTGCATTACAACATTTAAATACAGAGGACTGCCCAGCAGTAGATATTGAGATGTCCCTTTTCCAGCTTTAGTACCAATGGTTTTCTACAACGAACCTTCACAAAACCAGTCTGACGCAATTCTCACAGGAATCTAAGGACAAACTGACCAGAGATGCTGAAACAGTTCATTTTGCTACTTTAGTTTTTAGTACAGTAGCTTACTCCCAAGGCATCACTGTTACTCTTTTGTTCTCCCCTAGCCCTCAGAGCTCGTATCTCAGGTTTTGCAGTGCCACAGAAACAGCCTCAGCTAGGTCTCCACTACGGCTTTTCCCTCCCCAGTACCACCTTTCAGACTTACAGATTGTCATGTTTCCTCATTTAAACAAAATTTCTGTTGCAGAAAATGCTACAGAACAAAGAAACCAAAGAAACAAACCAAACAATTCTTGCTGGGGCAAGTAAACTGTTACAACGGTAATTCATGAAGGTAAAGGTTTCTCTGCTCTTCAGTCTGCTTAGCAAGAACGTACTGGAAGGGCCATGTTCTTAAATAATACAACTAGTGAAAGACAGTCAGAAAAGAAACACATACAAATTAATGTTAAAAAAATTAAATCACTTAGTAGCCACCTGCAAGCAAATATTAGAATTTTTAATATTTACCTGTATTAGACAGTTAACCAGTATTTTAAGTTAATTTTTCATGTGGCTCAACATTAGTTTGCAGCAGCTGGACCTTACATTTGAGAAAGCTGTATCATCAGATGACAATTCCTATTGATTTTAACTCAAGTTGATTTCATAGCTTTCCCATTACACTAAGTTCATAGAGTCCATATATTTAATAACATCTTCTGGTACAGCCATAGCAAGAACTCAGCCAGGAAATCAACTCCTTTCAGGATGCAAATAAATGTCAATCTCTGATAGCATACACTAGCCTGTATATTTACCACAGTACAGTACTACTCCTCCATCTCTGGCAAAACAATACTTTGTAAAAAAAAATTAGTATTCAATGTACTAGCATTTTAAATGGTTTAGTTGGTTCTTTTTTGGGGGGGTTGTTGTTTAAATATACAAGCCAAAGGAATTTTAAAGAGTGATTAAACAGCAACAATTGGCAAAGGAGTTGTGAAAAAATTAATATCTGATTTGCTTGCTAGAAAGACTCCCATTTTAGACTCATCCATCAAAGAATGTAAAAGATAAACAAGACCTGATAGTGTGGTGTATCTAACTAAAAATTAAAAGATTTGTTTTGCCCTACCTGCACATAAAAAACTCTCCACCCTCTTAAAGAAGTTATCTTCCTACTTATCTAAATCTTACCTTACTCTTTTGAAGTAAGAATGGGAGAAATAAAATTAAACAGGAATAAAAGATTTTTTTCCAATGGGATTCCCTAATAAACAGAAACTTTGTGGCACTTATCTCCATTGGACATAGATCACAATAAAAAGGAACTCATTACAAGACAGGGAAAGGAGTCAAGGTTCAAAGTCTCATTACCCTTTTGAGCAATACAGCATCAAATAACTGGAATTTGTGCCTCAGCTTTCAAGCTGGGCCTGCTCCAACTTCACAGCATTGGACTTCCTATTCTACAGTGTTTATACGTGGGTGTTTTGTTTTGGTTTTGGCTTTTTTTTTTTTTTCCAATGGGCAGAGCTCAAGAGCAAGAAAATTTTGCAACTTCTTCACTCCAAGACACAACACGCAAGAGTCTTCAAGATATACAAAAGGAAAATATTTTCCTGCAGTCACTCTGAGTTAAGGCTGAATAAAAAGCAACTTAGATACATGAGCAGGCAGATTTGTAACTTACCTTCAAAAATAAGGAAGTGAGAAGAGGCACATGACTGAATCAATATGCTTCACCTTCAGCTTGTTGAATTCTGGGAGAGAATTACTTAGAAAATAACTTCTCCCTATAGGCTTTGCTTCTTGTGAACAGCAAGCCACTGAGTTGCATAGATGAACACCAGAACTAGTAAGCAGTAGTAGTTCTACAGCACAGCTGTAACAGCTGGTATTGTTCTCCCGATTCTCCAAAGGAGGGGTTTGAACAAGAGAACTGTCACAAACCTGTGATCTCCAACATACTGCAGCAGTACATGTTTCAGACTCAACTGCTGCCAGCGCATTTGCTTTTCATTATGCTTTGAAGAGCTGTAAGCAATCAGTACCGAAGGACACTGAAGCGCTCATTTACACACCTTGCTCATCACGAGCTGACAGATGTGCAGGTATCAGCACTGATCACACACACGAGCTTTGTGTGGACATGTGTGAACAGAGCTGAAGAGTTTCAACCTCGTCCATGCAGATTCTAAGCACAGACAGACCAACAGGACAACAGTCTTCCACAAACTTGTTCTTTTCCATATGCATCCAACAGCTGAGGGACATCAATTTGTTCCCATAGATTTTCCCCACAAGCTTACCCAGGGATTACTTTTTTTTTTTCTCTCAGTAGTAGGTATTGCAGGTTTTGGATTAAATACACAATTTTTTTTTAAATTGTGTTTTTAAGGGAATATTTTCTTGCGCTACATCAGTATATTGTCTTAATCTATAAAGGTGGATGACTGAAGTCTCAGAAATTTGCTTTTATATTAGATCTTTCTTGAAGGATTTCAGTAAGCATAAGAAATGACCAAGTAGGAAACAAGATCAGTGTAAAAAGGCAGGGTGGGGAACACTTGCAACACACCAGTGTGTCATACAGCGTGATGCAAAGGCACAAAGTCTAACCATTTTGAACTTGAACATTTGGCTTTAGTCCCTAGTAACATCTGCAAGGCATTTTCAGACTATCTCAGCAATGTCTTGTATCACTATACTACTACGCAGTAGTCTTTTATTGCAACCATTCAAAAATACAGCGGATTAACACGAAGCAACACAAAAGGGTGAAAGTCAACATTTTTAAAAAGTTGTAAGATAAATTTATTCTAGAACTATACACAAGTGCAACCAGTCCCTTTCACAATTTAAAGGGATAAAGCTGTATTTTATTCCTTCGGGACAGCCCTTTAAATGCTACTAAATGCAGAGGGGGCTGAATAGGGTCCTCCAGGTTAACTGCCCTTTCTTCATCTTACTATTCCCCCATACAAAGAATCTAATACCAGTGTCCTACACAGTGATAGGCACACCAGCATCTTGCACCCTGAAGGATATTAATGCAGTAAGGTTCTTGAAGTTCAAACACACAACACTGGCAAAATAAATACATACAAATGGCTAAAGTAGGTAAGGCAATGAAGAATGCAGGCGCCATGTATATATAACATAACGCACCCTCCTGCTTTTAAGACCTTGAAACTTACTACTAAGATCAGAGCAATGCTCATAACGCTAAGCAAACCGCCACTTCCTTCAGCATGTCTCCTCAGCTATGGTACAGCTACCTCTCTAAGCTTCCTTTCTTAAGATAAACTACTTTCTATTTAAAAGAGAACATGGGATTCTAATCATCAGAATTAGACCAACCTACACTTTGAAACATTCAGGTTTTTGACAGCTCAATAACCTATGGTGCAATCCGATTATCATACTAAGATTTGAATCCAGTGCTCTTCGGCCACTCGTTCGTAACGGTGCCCCTGAGAGTTCTGCCACCACAGCCCTGCATTGCAGTGCTTCAGTGCGAACACTAGGAGATCCCACAAAGTGAAATTCTCTTTCCAGCATTTTGAATTCAGAATTTACAGATTGCTTTGAGCAGCCTTTGAATTGCATGATTTTAAACACCAGAAACACTCAATCCAAATTTAAAGACTATGAAAAAAACACAACAGTATAAACTTATCACTGCTTGACGTGAGTAAAACTACCAACTGTCACAACAGCCCGACTTTAAAAGGCCTGGGTCCCCGCAGAATGTCTTTTAGAGTTTACAACCTAGGTACTACAGCTCTATGAAAGAGCACAGAAATTAACCTATGTCTACCTCTTGTTCTATTTTGAACGTAAAATAAGCTACGCTTGGTGGTAACTCAGTTTCATCTAAAAAAAAATTCAAATAGATTAAAATTGGCACTACTGATACAGACAGCAAAGTTTGTTTATTTTGAGGATTATTTATAGACTGACTGTCTCAAAGAGGAATGCATGAACTTAGCTGCTTTGAGAACATACTCCTTTTCAAGCCAATGTGCAAGTGGAGAACAGCAAATGTTAAAATTGACGAACAGACTTGAGTCGAGGCTACAGTTTCACAGCTAGCTGAAACTAGGGTAGGTGGTGCCACTACAGAATCAGGACCAAATCCTTTTCTCTTTTGACCAGGTTAGTCTTCATCAGGGTGAGTTCCATAATTCATCTTGCCACCATCTGTAACAACAACTGACGGCATAACTTAGAGAACAGGTACACAGAGTCACAGCTCTCCTCCTTTGAGTACCAGACCACAGACTCCATTGAACCAATCATTAAATTAAAGCCCTCGTTAGCAGAGACCAAAAGGTGGCCCACAAGTATTTTGCAAGCAGCTCCAGCACGGGCCCTACACCAGGATATCACCTGACCTCCCGCAGGTCCGTGCTAGTACAGAAATTGCTCTGTATTTCACACTCCGACTGTGGCTAGATATGGAACACAATGGCTGCAGCAAGCTCCCAACCACCCAGCCCCATACTCACTTAACCTGTAATGCAGCCAGGGGGGATGTGTGCAGCTGTCATCTACTTTAAAGGTCTTCTTTCCCTCAGACCTCTGCGATGTGTAGCATATGGCTTTCTACTGCACACACACACAAAAACTTTGCTGCATGTTTTAACGGGTAAGAATACCAGATTTTCCCATTTAGAAGGTGGCTTAGGAATGCAAATACTTGATTATTCTTTCAGAAGTCCAGTGCTCAATATGAGATGACATGTGATTAGTTCCTATCAAAAGCATCATTTAATAGGCAAG